AATTATCATATCCCTATCAGTTAAATGATTTAGAGTGAGTATTTAACGCCTGCTCTTTTAAGGCAATGGTTGATAAATTGAAAGGGAATTAGATTATTTTTGAGAATTTTGATAAGGATCAAAATTTCGCGTTGTAAATCTATTGTATCTGTGCATATAGTTTTAATTCGTTGTATTTGATTAATTATAGTATTGTTAATTACTTTTTTGGATATGTTGGAGTTCCAATTTATTAATTTGTTAGTATTGAAATTGAAGTTTCTTGTTTTGTCAAAAAGTAAAATTTTTTTGTAGTTAATGATTTGAAGATCTAGAAAGTCTATGCTATTTTGTGAATTATTAGTTTTATTAAGTTTAAGACAATTCGGATAAATGTCGGAGTTTTCAATTTTACCAAAATTATTAATTGTAATAAGGTCATCAATAAATCTGTAGGTGTGTTTGTAGTAATTTAACTCTTGTGGTTGTAGATTTTTTTGGAAGTTAAATTCTTTGACAAATAAAAAGATATTACAGATCGAGGTGCTGGAATGTAAGCCCATTGGCAATCCTCTGACTTGTTTAAAAAGTTGATTTTGAAACTTGATGTAGTTATGAAAAAGTGTGCATTTTAGGTAGGTTTTCCATTTGTCAAGAGTCATGATATTGAGTATATTAGGGAAAAGTTTTGGTAGATCAAGTAGACTGGTATAGATTTCTTCTAGAGGAAGTGAGGTATATAAGTTTTCAAAATCATAGCAGTTAATGTTTTGGATGTTAATGGTATGAATGGTATTAATGACAGGAGTGTTATTATGAATGATCCAGCAATAGTTATGATTAGTGTTACAATCATTGAAAATAAATTTACAGATTTTATTAAGTTGAATTGAAAAATAATAGTCTATATTTTTCTTGTAATTATTAGTTCCATTAGCTATAAATCTAAATTTTAATGGTGTTTTATGGAATTTGGGAATCGCATAAAGATTAGTAAATCTGTTGTAGTGCATTGAAGTTTCCATGTAGCGTATATTTAAAATTTAGAAAATTTATGATTTAAAAGAACTTAAAAAAAGTTTAATTAATGTATAATTGTTTTCTAATACAAAAATTTATCTTTAATTTCATCCAAAATGGTGGTCCTTATAAGGCCTATTATTTCGTTTGCTCAATCTCACATACCTGGTGGTCTTTCTTAGTAGAGCCCACCAGCGGCCGAGCGGTAAAGTCGCTGAACACTGGTAGTTCGGTTCGAGGTTCGAATCCCGCGAACGGGCTGGCTGCATGGGTGTTTTCGTGGTTTTCCCCATGTGTAACGTGTATACGAGCCAGTTTCCCTTAGAAATTCCTCCACTAAGGCATCCCTCCTCTTAGGCAGATAGCCCTAGTGTGCTTTGCTATAATTAAATACACCAATACACCGAAGGTAAACAAATTTGCAGGGGCGTAGCTAGAGTTTCCAGCGCCCGGGGACACTTGAAGAATTTGCGCCCCTTTCTGTGTGCCAAGAAAATAAAACGTTTCATTAAAAAATTTCGTAGCATGAATTTGGTGCCCGGGGACAAATGTCCCCCCTTGCCCCACCCTAGCTACGCCACTGCAAATTTTTTATATTTGGATGCAAGAAAAGGGGATAAATAAAGTCATTCATGTCCCCCCCCAAAAAACATAATTTTATGCAGTCCTTACACAGTGTTACATCAACTTTACCAAGTATTAAATACATACATTACTACTTCGCACATGTCCGCATGAGCAAACGCATACAAAGAATATATAAACAAACGTATTCAAAGCAGTCTGTTGGCGTATAAAAAATGTCGCCAAAGCAGAATACTAGACTAATTAAAATTATATTGTATTACTAAAATTTTAACATTTTTTTCAGAAAACATTTATTAGAAACATACATATATATTAAGATACTTTTATTTAAATGCATACATTATATAAAATTAGAAAATCTATTTTTTATTAGAAAAAGGCAAGTAGAGTGGATAAAAAAACCTCTACATTTTATAAAATTAGGTTTTAAAACATTAGAAAAAGCTCAGTTGTGAAATGTTACTCCTCCATCTTTCACATATCTGGAATTACATCCATATGCGGAGCACGAAAGTATCATTTTTGAAGTCCGAAACAATGCGCTTACATGCAAAACACTAGCTTCTCACAAATTCTCCATAGAACTGTAATAGTAAGGAAGATCCGCGGGAAATACGATCTGGGAAATGTTCCAAATGTCACGTGGTTCGCATTCCTGTTCCCCTTCAGGGTTGCCGTTTCTCTCTCTAGTACATTACAGCTCTATGCTCCCACCCATCTTCTTTACCACTACCCTTTCCAGAGGACTTTCAGCCCGCCGCATATTTAAAGTGCCCCCATGCCGCACCAACACTCTGTATTTACAAACATCCGTGTCTTCTCCGGGGTTCGAACCCGGGCCCTTCTGTACGGTAGTCAGCGACTCTAATCACTAAACCGGTTGGGCGGCAATGACTCTCATGATACCTATTAATGAATAAGGTATGCTGAGTCACTAAAAATTTATTTTAACTCGTTGTTTTTTTGTTAACAGGTTCTTTACCATAGTAGTAGTAGCATCAATTAATAATACTACTTTCAATCATGGTAGTAGATTTCTTATTTTCTGCTGTGAATACTTTCTCACAATTTTCCCGGTTTGGGCAAAAAATCATATGGTAAACCTAGTAAGAGTTCTTAGAGAATTGAAGAAGAATAAAATGCTATAAAGTGTATGATTTTTGAATTATTAGTGGGTAAGATAATGTAATCAAGAATAAGAAAAGAAAGAAAGTCTTTGATTTTCTCTGATTGTCTATTAAGAGAGGAATTTTTATGATAACTGTAAATATGAACTGAAAAAAAAAATTGAAAATGCACAGGATAAGATCTTGAGATTGCCAATCCAGCCCTTTATTGTCGTGAAAGTGAATTGTGATAGCGTGCACTCAGTGCGAAATTATTTACTGAATAATATTTGAAACTCAGAACTGAGTAATGTAAAATGAGGTTAACTTAATTGATTTTGACAAAGCACTCAAGAGTTATTTGCCTAGGATGAGACATGATTCCGTTGAAAGTATGAATTAAATAAATTTAAGAATTTTTATGATAACTGTAAATATAAAATGAAATATCAAACAAAAATTTAGGAAATAAATATAAATAAAGCTTAGATAATTGATCATTTGCACGTCACAGAAATCTACAGCATTAATTTAAAGCAATTAAAAAATATCAACACGAGTGAAAAAAGAATAACTTTTATTATCCCATACGTTTTTAAGTCCCCAGTAAATAGAATCTCGCATATTTGGGCAAGACTAATATTAAGATAAGCAAAACTCATCAGAAAGCCGTGCGAACGAGGCAAGTTACATAGAACTGGTTCTGATAATATTAACTGTGATAATATTACTACTGTGAATACCTACCTACCAAGAAGATCTAACCTAACCTTCTTGGTGAATATTAACGTGACAATGGAAATGAAACTAGATGCCATAAAGAGAATGGACAAAGGGAAAAATGTAAACAAAATTAACACGGATTTAGGCGTTGGTCGGACTACTTTGATAGGGTGGTAAAAGGAAGATGTCCGAAATCGATTCTTGGTGTGTGAAAAGAGCAGATACGGATAGTTTAAAGGAAAGAAAAAATATGAAAGGTGGTGAATACGAAAAAGGGAGAGAGGCACAGGGAACACCTATTTCAGAACCAGTTTTGCAAGAGAAAGCCGTAAAATTTTTTGATGAATTTCAATATAATTTTTCTTACTTTTTGTATGTAAGTTTTTATTACTCAATTATCATTGGAAATTTGTTCATTTTATGACTCCTATTGTGCTACAAATGTCTAGAGTAATTTACAGTTAAATATTAAAGAGTTCTGGAAAACTCACCCATTATTCCTTAAAACTCGACTTTCCGGAAACTCGACACTCTCTCAGTCTATATTAAATGTGTGGGATTGTAGTGTAATTGTTGTGAAAATCAGAACGAGTATGTTCAGTTATTGTATCGTGTATGTTGTTTATGCAAAACTGAGATTCCATATGCTGAGCTAAAAGTTCCGCTTTCTCAGTTTCAATGTACTGGATCCTGTCCGAACCTCTAAGCCGGTGGATATTATTGTTGCATCTTTTATGCCTTAAAATCACTTTTCAGATAGAGTTGCCATCCGTGGAGAGTGACTTAAGGTAGCCCAGTTGAGTTGTGCTTGATTATTTGAAAGAGACCTAACCGATGGACAAATCTGTCCGCATAGCTGTGTAGCTGTCTTCCCCCAAATCCAGACAGCTACACAGCTACCGTGGTTTGGCAGTTTGCACACGCAGGTGGGCCTGCTCTGTCTTTGGTGCACAAATAAGATTCGTGATTTTCACCACAGTGCAAGCAACGTGGCTTGGAACCCGTTGACAGCGAAAACACTGCAATGACCCAGCTCTGCCTTTATATTATTCTACGGATATTTTCATACCCAGTGTGAAGATATTTTGGTTACCATCTTTACGGTCAAGACAGGGGCGTAGCTAGAGGGGGGCAAGGGGACATCTGTCCCCGAGCGCAGGATCCAAGGGGCGCCAAACTGATGTTACGACATTTTAGAATTAAATGTTTTCCATCCTTGGCAAGCAGAAGGGGGCGCGAAATCTTCAGTTGTCCCTGGGCGCTGGAAACCCTAGCTACGACTCTGGGTCAAGAGTCACTAAAAATAAGGTTGATAACCTTCGATTATTCGAAGTTGATAACCTCTTGGTGAATCAGACAATCTCTCTCCGGCCTATTATAGTTTTACAAACGGTCACGAGAAATTTCACAAAATGAATAAAAAAATTGTATTTATACGACAGAATCTAGAAAGCAATTCACATGCAGGAACATTGAAGGAAAAACGCAGAAAATAACCAGTCTAATTTTGGCTGAGTAGGAGGTTGAATATCTTACAAAATTGGTTTCTTTTTTTTCACCCTAGGGGAAGAAAATTTTAGCGGCTGCAAAACTGAACGTATCGCAGAATAAGAGTAGGGAAAGTTTAAAAGTCTGTGAAAATTACGTACGTCACAATTAAATGATAGTAAATTGTAACGAAAGGACTTGCCATTAATAGAGAAAAGTACATTGTAAAAAATACGGTTTTCCATTATTTATATTTTTATTAAGACCCGAATTTTTAAATTGTTGATTAATCATGCTATCTTCATGGAGAGCTGCTGGGAAAAAAGTAGGTTTTTAATGCATTTATTTATAGTTTGTCGTAAAATTTCTGTAATAGATTTGTATTTCTTAACCCAAGGGTTGGCTATCTGACAGCAATCGCTACTTGCAGAAGTTTATGATTTCGTTGATTGCTGAGTATGCATAAAAATAGCTAGTCACATTTTTTCTACACAAATAATTTATATTCATATCAAATTGCATTGCGAAATCTTTGAGGGGAATGATTTTCATAGATTATGAATTTGAAGGTGTATTTTATTAAGATAATTACCGTGCGGTTGAATTTCGTGATAGTAAATTGTAACGGTCAGGCTTGCCATTAATAAAGAAAAGTAGATCATATAAAATCTCGTTTTCCATTATTTTTATTTTAATTTAGATAGTACGTCCCAAATTGTTAAACTGTAATTTCATTGTGCAATCTTCATGGAGAGGTAGCTGCTGGGGGGGGGAAGTAGGTTTTTAAGAGATTTATTTATAATTCTAGTAGTATTTATAGTTTGTTGTAAAATTTCTGTTATAGATTTATATTTCTTATCCCGATGGGTGACTGTCTGACAGCAATCGCTACTTTGCAGAAGTTTATCATTTTGTTGCCTGTTGAGTACACATAGAAATAGTTAGCCAAATTTTTTCTTCACAAGTAATTCATATTCATATCAAATCATATTTTAAAATCTTTCAAGGGAATGGTTTTCATAGTTTTTGAATTTCAAGGTGTATTCTGTTGTGTATTCTATTAAAATAGTTACCATGCGATTGAATTTCGTGTTATTAAATTGCAACAATCAAGCTTGCCATTAATGTATATCGTAAAAAATCGTGCTTTCAATTATTTATATTTTAATTTAGGTAGTATGCCCTGAATTATTAAATTGCAAATTCATCAGGCTATCTGCATGGAGAGATAGCTGCTGGGGTGGAAAAGTAGATTTTTAAAGGCATTTACTTATGATTCAAATATTGATAGTTTGCTGTAAAATATCTTGTTATATATTTGTATTTCTCAACCCAATTGTACACTGTCTGACAGCAGTCATTATTTACTGAATATTATAATTTCATTGCCAGTTAAGAATTTCTTTATGTACAGAAATATTGGTAAAATCCTAGTATACGGTGCAGCCTTGGCGCGACTTTGAAAATTATCGCCAACACCAAAAATGATCCAAAGAAAGTCTGTATATATATATACTATACACTATATGCTATGTGTGTATATACATAGTATATATACTATATACCTAGTATACACTATGTTTAACTATATATATTTTCTTTGAATGACCCGTTAACTACTCATCGTATATGTCCCGTTTTTACTGATCATAAAGTCGCCAAAAGTAGCCAAATCCCGTGTGCACCGGATACTAGGATTAAACCGAAATATTTAGCTAGAATTTTTCTTCACAAGTAATTCATAATTATATCATTCGTATTGTGAAGTCTTTCAAGTGAATGATTTTCATATTTTTGAATTTAAAGGTCTCTTTTATTGAAATGTTGACAATGTGATTGATTTTTGTGTTATACTTACTTCCTTGTTAAAGCGGCTACTGTGCTTAGTTGCCAAAACTTAATCATTCTAATCTATAATGAGTAAATTTTAGAAATGTTGACAAAGCCTTATGTGGTGATCATTTTAACTACAAAGTATCCTTGATCTTATTATTATGCTAATCACGAGTTAACATTTTAGAAGTAAGCTAAGCTGAGATACTAATTTTAAGTTATAAATGGTAGTGTAATTAATTTTTTGGTTGATCTTTGGATTATGGTAACTTGGCGATTTCTTGGCGAAAATTTGGCAACCAACTCTGCTACAGCAACCCTCTATTTTTTTTTTTTTTCCGCCGCCATTTTGTCTTCATGAAGTAAAGACATGTTTCTTTTCTTTTTATTTACTGAACACTTTTTCCAACAATCTACTAGCCAAATTACACTTATACTAGAAATTTTATCTAACAAAACTGCTTAATCATGACAAATATTCACTGCAAAATTGGGAAAAAGTGCACAATCGCAAACACCTTGCACGTTTTTCACAATAACACATACAAATAAACCATGTACACGTCGACTTATTTTTACTTAAAAAAACATCCCAGAATTGCACAAAAATGGCATTGCGCACACTCTTCACTATATCCATGTACACTGCTTTTTTCTCATAAATTAGAAAAATTTCACGAAAATGCATGACAATTTTCTGAATCTTTAAACCCGATAAAAAGAACATATATGAAATTACCTTATCGCGAAAAAGTACATACCCTTTCCAAATATGAAGATTTCCATGTATAAAATAAATAAAATATCTAAAAACTTTTACCTCTAAATTATCTATTATATTATAAACGTCATCAACGAATTCATACCGCGAACATTACAAATACTTAGTGTCAAATACTTCAATTATTTCCATGCACGTTTACTTCAACTAAAACGTATACCAAATTCCTACAAACATAAAATTCACAAAATAACTATCATTTAATTAAAATATCACTAAACCAGGTACACGTCGACTTATTTTTACTTAAAAAAAATCCCAGAATTGCACAAAAATGGCATTGCGCACACTCTTCACTATATCCATGTACACTGCTTTTTTCTCAATTAAAAAAATTTCACGAAAATGCATGACAATTTTCTGAATCTTTCAACCCGGTTTATCAAAAGAAAAAAAATCAGATAAGTAAACACTGCACTTCAACTAATTCTTATATAGTCATCAGCTGCAACACAAATTTGGCAACTTCAACTTAGTTTGTTTACTGTTTTTGGACTTTTGTGCGTGTGTTTCAGTTTCTATATCAGTTTTATGTTTAATTAGTTTATAAACTTTCCATGTTACTTTTGGTTACTTAGAAAGCTAAGCATATATTATGTGTTCACTAGTGTTTAATTTTTTTGGGGGGGGGGGGAGGTTATATACATTTTATCACCATGTTAATGAATAAGACTTATAGTGACACTTCACTCTTTCTGTTTGATTTTGGTATAATTTGAGTTGTATTTAAATTTTTTAATTTAATTTTTTTAAAACTTAATGATTATTTTATTTAAATTTGAATTTGTTTATCATTGATCTCTGTATGACAACTAGTATTGCTTAGTAAAATATTAGTATGGCACATAGTTCGTAAAAAATCAGAGGGAAATGTTACTACTCTTTCTCTCCCTTTCAAGATATTGCAAGACATTTCAACTATTCTTGAATGTATCACATCCTTGGAAATGGAATACCCTCAAGTTTTTCCTCTGTTCCAGTCCACAAACTAATTCAACCATTTCCAGTGCACATGACTTAATTAATGTCTCTCCAATAGTATGTGGCTTCTTACTTTTGGCAATACGATATGCAACTCTGAAAGATGCCTCAACCAAAGGTTTTTGTGTTAACCAAAGGTTTTGTGTTGTGTAATCTGGTTTGGTTAATGTTCCAGATTTCGAAAACTGGGCTTTCTTCTTTGTAAAAAATTCTAGATCTTTAGATGCAATTTTCAGGATGAAGAGATTTGAGATACTCTATCAATTTTGCCGGTTTTTATACTGGCGTTTGCGAAAACTTTTCCACACAGAAAGCATTGTGGCTTTTCAATCTTTCATGCATTCATTGTGGCTTTCCGATTCCTTCATGCAGCAGAATCCATATTTTACATAATTTTCATCATACTTCCTTTTTTTTTTTTTGGACATTTTGGGCTACAAAAAATATCAAATAATCAAATGAATATTAAGAACAAAACATTAAGACACAAAAAACACATTGAGAAAAATACTTTAATTACAACTTTATGAAAAAGTAAAACAAATATTTTGTTTTAAAAAATTCCAAGAACTTTGCGGAACTGATTTTAACGTCACTTTATTTCCAAGTGAAGTAAAATTCAAAGGCTACTTTGTGTTTCTAAAAATTTTTAATTTTATATGGTTTGCGAATGTTTTTTCCCTCGTATTGTGGAGGTCTCTATTATTGGGAAATGGCAGACAGACGGCTTAAAGAGGTTGCCCATGAAAAAAAAGTTTTTTTTTTATATATTGATGCAAACATTTTAAAAATTAGGAGCAGTCGGCAGACACCCAAAATATGACCCATGGGCCCCCAAGGGGTCCATGAACCACAGGTTAAGAAACACTGCTTTAGATCATTATTGCTCTTTATTTCATAAATTACGGTTTCATATTTTTAATTGTATAATTTCTGCATGCCATCTTACCAGATATAAATTGATAATCAATAATCCGAAAAAACCCTTAATCCGGAATTGCCGAAGTCCCGACGAGTCTGGATTATGGACTTTGTACTGTATTACCTAAATTTTTTGTCTACATTTTGAATTTTAAGCCTAAAATGTCTCCAAAAACCACATTTTGAAGACACAATTTAAGCTAAAAATCCGAAACAAAACCAAAAAATTTAGATAGTAAAAACCTAAAGTTTCTAACCAAAAAGTAATTGACAAGAATCCATGTACACAGCAATACGTTTTAACTTAAAAAATATCTACTAATTGCACATTCTAGGCAGCAAAGGAATCTACAAACTAAGCACACCTCACTCCAATAAAATAACATAACAAAAATAAATTTCAAAGAATACCATGTACACAGCATTCTGTTTAAACTTAAAAAACATCTACGAATTACACAATCTAGGTTCGCACAAATCAACCAAATAAACTAAACTAAATTACAAGCAATTCAAAAAACAACAATAACAATAGAAATTCATAGTAAAAAAACAATGAACATAACATTCTACAAAATAAAAACAGTAAAATAAAATGCACTTACCATAATACATTTCTGAATAAAATTTTGCCAGTCATACAATGTCTCTGAACAAAAATGCCATGATTTTAATATATCACTTTCTGAGATTCAACATTTTGAAAGTAACAATAAAAACTATCTCCAAAGTACACGTACTACACGAAAACCACAATCCACATCTTAAACTCCGCTGTCAGCCCACATACTTTACCAGCAACCATTTGACTGCAAATCTACACAAGAACTATCAGAAATGCCCTACTTCATCCGAGTTCTCATAGCAGCTCCGCATTTTGGATTCTGTTTTGAAAGTCCCATGGAAATTCCAAAAATACACTTCAATCTTCATAAACACACCCATGAACAAAAGACTCGCTAACAACTCCAACATCGTACCTTTTAATACTAAATTTACTTTCCACACAATCTAAAATATGTGACTGAAATCTTGCCACCATGTCTATCATTGCAACATAGGCCATTTCAAAACATGAACGGCATGAACCAACAAGCAATTAAACCACTCCAGCAAAAGATTTACAACATCAACAGGGTTGCCATACAACATGCAGTCATGCCAAAAACCAATGCAGAACATATATCACCACACTTGGTGATATTAGGGCACATATAAGAGAACCAGATTGCCAAAAATTTGTCAAAAAAGCATGCATGTTGGGCAAATGGCATCAAGCATCCCCCAATTCACTAGACCTTACTATCTGGGATTTTCATTTCTTCAGATTCAAAATTCTCTGACTGATATGAAGTTCACTTCTTTGGAGACTGCCAAGCAGAATGTTGATAACTTCTTTTAAAATAAACCTAATGAACTGAGGTGAATCAGGTGCCTGAGAAATGGTAAAATATCATATTTTGAAATGGTGTTTGATTCAGTGGAAGTTGCTACTTCATATGTATGTATCAACAAAAAGCTGCAGAACCTTTTGCTTGACATAAATATATGTATAAAAATACTTGACATATGTTTAATAAAGTTTCATCTCTTTTGTTTTCCATTATGTCATATTAATAATTTCATAATCATATTAGATTTCTTTTTACAGCTTTTAGGTGCATATTCTGCAACTGTCAGATGTGAAAATAGTTTTCATCAGAGTCTGAAGTGCTTCCTCCCTTTAATCCCTATGGTTGTTGAGCAAACTGGAAGAGGAGAAAGAGCATATGATATTTATTCCAGACTTTTAAAAGAGAGAATAATTTGTGTTATGGGGCCTGTAGGTAGCTTTCATATTGTCCTCTCTCTCTTTTTTTATGTAAATAAATAATGAATTTTTTATTTCTTATTATTTCATGCTTTATTATTCTGTGATTAATTTGAATTATATTAAGCGATTGCTTTGCTGTAATTAAATGTTTTATTATTTAAAATATAATTGTGGGTAAATCCATTTCACTATTTTCCATAATTCTTTATTTTGCTAAAAGGACAAGAAGAGCCTTTTTCATATTCATTAAAATATGTTAAGTATTCCAGTACTTAACAAATCCAGTTTAGATAAAAAAATATGGGTGTGGGGAGATAAATGAATAAATAAATGAAATGAATGCTGTGGATCTCTATAAATAGAAAATAACTGTATGAAGCATTAATTCTCAAGCATTTTTGGTTCACAGTGCTCTTCAAGTATCGGAATTTTTCCGTGGCATCCAACAAAAATCCAGCATCCAGTAAGGCTTTTTCCGTGGCATCCAGCATCCAGTAAGGCTATACTAAGTCAGAATAAAGCCCTATGTAACAGTCCCAGCAAGCAGTTAGACTGTTAAATTTAAATATAAATGAAACACAAATTCCAAATTTAGAAACAGTTAATCTAAAACATGCTAAATGAGCACATATTTTGATAACACTGAGGAACAGTTTGTAACAGAATTTCTGATGAATACGATTTTTGAGCTGTTTTTGAATTAAATAGGCATGCTGATTTCAAAACTGTACTTAATTTTCTTTTACCACATCAAGTTTTTCACTACACCTTATGTGAATGTGACTACTCTTTGAACATGGATCATAGGAAGTACGACTGCTCTCCTATTGGTTGACATAAACCCGCATTGGCACTGGGTGAATGATGTCGTAGGAGACCAGTGACAGGTGCATACTTGTCTAGACTAATTCAGCTACACCTGATATACTATAGTAAGGCTTTGTGTGTCGCTCTTATGTAATGAAGTGCTTTTGGACATGGAGTCTGAGTTCTTGTTTGTATACAAGGTTTGCAATACTAGTTTTTATTTATATATGAATTGAAATATTTCATTGTTTGTATACAAGGTTAGCAATACTTAGTTTTCATTCATATATGAATTGAAACATTTCGTTATGTCTGTCTCTGCTAATTTGCATTGTAAATGCTGAAATAGCCCAAGTTCATTTTTATATATGTGGCAGCTTTACCATTCCCAGTCAAATGACAATCTGTCATTCAAGCCTATTTTAAAGTGAAAATTAGGGATCAATATAAATCATTTGGCCCCTCACAAAGTGTGCAAGCAGTGTGTCGAGAGTTTACAGATGTGGATAAAGGGAACGCATTCTAAATTTCCATTTGGTGTATACCTATGATCTGGCAGGAAACCAAAGATCACTCAAGCCATTGTTAATTTTATATAGAGAAAACGTCAAGATATATCAAGAAAAACAAATGTCAAAGAGTATCCTAGTTTACCATCAGCCAATGCCTCATTCATTTGAACTCCCAGTGACAGTTTTCAAAGAATTCTTTAGGAGTACAGAAATACGACTTTGGTGAATATCGAATTAACCCTGGTGGCAAAGATTTTGAAATTGAAGACTTCCATTTGTAAAGGATTGACTAGCATGTGTTGAATAATTTGGCAAAAGGTTTGTGATTATACAAAAATGGTTCAGAGTTATTAACATCAAGAGTAAATGAGAAGAACTTGCTTGAAAAAGGAACTAAGGTATCTTGCCATCTAATGAAAGTGCATTTCTTCAGTACTTTTGGAGTGAAGATGGATTTGTGTATTGCCATAACATAATTGGTTTGATGGAAGAATTTGGAATTTCACCTTATAACGTAATTCAGTGGTGACTGTTCATTGATAGCTCAGAGTGGAGCTTGAAGTGTGTCCTTCTTCACAATTGAAATTTATTTGATGCAATCCTAATAGGCCATTCAGTTTGTGTTATGAATATGTAGACATAAAGAGAGTCATTGATTTGTTGCGCTGATACATGCACCAATGAATCATCTGTGTAGAACATAAAATGGCCTGCTTCCTCCTTGGTTAGCAAAGTGGCTATACTAAGTATCACTGTTTTTTGTGTAAGTGAGTGCAGCAGAGCTTGTGAGAAGCATGCGGTGTAGTCAGATTAGCCACTAAGATTTGACCTGAAGCCTGATGATCCAAACATTCTACTTCAGTCACTTGTCAGCAGAAAGAACATTATATTTCCACCTCTGCATATAAAACTCTGCATAACAAGTACCAATACTTTTGTTTCTCATGAAGCAATTTGTTAAAGCTCTGCCCAATTTAAGGAGACTGTTTCAAGTATCTTATTTCAGAATTTCCTAGCTGTCATTTTCGAAAAGATGAAGACCAGTGTGTTTGATGGTCCTCAGATGAGCATTCCATCAGAACGATGACAGAACTTCAAAAGAATGCTTGGTTGGCATTCAGAAACATCGTCAAACACTTTCTTGGAAACATATGAGCACAATTACTGTGGAATTGTCCAGAAACTTTTGGAGAACTTCAAAATGTGAGTTGCAACATGAGCATTGAATTGCATTTTTTACATAGCCAGCTTGATAATTTCCAAAATGTCTTGGTGCAATTAGTGATGAGCAATTACACCTTGATTTGAAGGTTATGGAGGCACAGTACCAAGGTACATGGGATGTACATATGATGGCTGACTATTGTTGGAGTATAAACCGAGAATGTCCACAGATTAAACACTCCAGAAAAAACCATAAGTGAAAAGTTTTACCATAGTATGTGCATTTACTGTTTGGTAGAAAAACTGTACTATATGTATGAACAAAATTTAACTGCAGTAACTATATATAGCCCTTTGTATGAATAAAACTATTTTTTAGAAACAGTATATTTGGTAAGTTTTCCCTTTATTTTCTTTTATGTGCATATTTTGTGTGACTTTTGGAATGAAGAGAAGGTATAGCTTAAAAAGGTGATGTGATAGAAAGAAACTGAGGTTATTTTTGGATTTTGATACCAAAAGTTAGTCAAAGATTAGTGACAGATCTAAGGCAGTGATAAATATTATTGATTAAATGAATTGCAATCATTTGGGAAGGTGAGCATTTTCATTCAGTGTATTTTGATGTCTTGGAACTGAATTTTGCCCTTTTTTTTCAGTATTTATTTATTTATTCTGTAAAATATTATCAAACTGCATCAAGATGATTGTGCTAATATGCAAGTACCAATACTTTTGTTCCTTAAATAATTTCCATTTATATTTATTAACAAAGTATTTGTGTGTTACTTTTCAAATTTTTAACTTAGAATCAATGCAGAATATGAAATTTTTTATTTTTTAAAGATTTATGACTCTTAAAAAAAAGTCTTCATTTGTATGTTTTAGCCAGCTTATTTTACTTTACCAGCTTATTTCTGTATAATTTTATATGGATTTTTTATTGGAAGTATATGTATTATACAAAATAAGATTTTTTTGTTACTTTTTGATTGTCCATATCCTCGTACTCCATCAAAAATTTGCAAACTCATTGCATTCTTAAGAGAGCATTTGCAGACTCATTGATGACCAATTTTTCACCAAGCTAAGAGGTGAAAGGCAACAACCATTTTCAGAATGGTGATGCACTAAGAATTTCATACAAGTGCAATAGATCAAAAAACTTGAAAAAGGAAAGAAACATTGGTAATTAAAGATTACCTGTTTCGAGAAACCCTTAGTTAATCCTTGCTCTCCTCATAAGCACAATAGTCTGTTTTTGCTTAAAAAAGCATCAGAGAAGAGCAGAAACTTGACATCATACAATATCACCATCACGTGTCGATGAAAACAGTCATGCTGCTTGCATACCTAGATGGTTGCCAGATAAATTCATTTTTATAACAGCATAGGTTGCCAAATTAATTAAAAATTTTCAAAGTAAATGCAAAGCAAAATGCATCAGAATTCCAAATATAAAAACAAATTAGGTGATTCTTATTTCAGTTTGATTATAAACCAGATTCATTTGAAATGTCCTCCATAAAGGCATTGTTCCTAATAAAGATAATCTTTGAACGTTGTGCAATAATAAACTATGTTACAAATATTATTTTCTAATTTTGAAGCATTTAATCATTCTGCTTCTTTTCAATTTGCCTTTCATTTAATCATTGTAAAAGACATGATGTGAAAGGAATGTTCAGCCATCTGCACTAAAGAAAAATATTAAAAGATAATTGATAAAAAACATAATTTTCATTGCTTTTCAGATAGAAATATGAAGTATGCTTAATATCTTTAAATTTTGGTAATTTATGAAATGCAAAAATAATATTGCAGTATGCACAGTAATATATGCATTTAAATATATTAAATATTTAAATTGCAATATTTAAATTAGTAGTTTAATTCAAAAATTTATTTTAAAATTTGAACTTAATGAAAGAAAGAATTCATTGAAGGAAAAGAGTTATTAAACTATTTTAAGAATGTGAATTGGCAACCAAAGCATACTTCTCAAACTGAATAATGAAAATTAAAATCAATCACTTAAAACTTCAATCTTTCAATCAAATCTTTCATACAGCTATGCTTGAAATTATCTTACTTTTGTTTGTGGTTCATAATACATACCGAAAATGCATGAAGTCTTTCTCTCTCTAGTTTATAACCCATTTTAAGAAAATACAAATATTAAAAGATAATTCTGAACATCCAATATCTGTAATGATCTAAAATCCAGATTTTTTTTTTTTTTTTTTTTTTTTTATGCTTTACAAATGCACATTTGGTTTTTTTTTCCCCACCCATAATAAAACATGAGGAGAATCCTGATTCATAATTTTGCTTTGACTCTAAATAAAGTACCTCATTATTGAAGAAACAATCATTTTAGCATAAATTTGTGTGATCAGTTATTTGGCTCCTAAGCTGCGTATCTGCTTGGAACATCTCAAACCAAAATGTTCCACATAGAAACATCTTTGATTTTACAGGTAGTACTATTATTTTATATTCCTGACACCGACGTGGTGAATTATTGTTTATTATATTTTGGTTTCATCACGGCATGTGTATCAGCTCATGACAACTTGAATAATGACTCATGAAGTGATGTCTAAGCATTTTTTTATATTAGTAATTGAACAAAAAAGAGTAACTTTAAATTGATGATTTAATATCTGGAAAATTCCCAAATCCAGAATTGCCAAAGTCTTGATGAGTCCAGATGTTGTAGTGTACTAAGTTTTCAGGTTCAGATTTTAATGCCTGGGAGGTTTTTTTTTCCATTAATTTATTAATATTTATATATTGTTAATTCTTAAAATGCTGTTTGGAATTGAAAGTAATTTTGTGCCACCTGCTTGACAGTGTAGTTATAGAGGATTTAAAAATTTTTAAAAGTTACTGTTTTTTCTCCTTTAGGTCACAGATGATATGGCTAGTTTGGTTGTAGCACAACTTCTTTTCCTTCAGTCTGAAAGTAGTAAAAAACCTATTCATATGTATATAAACAGTCCTGGTAAATATTTTCTTTTCTCTTAAATGCATATATTACTGTGCATACTGATCAGGCTAATTATTTTTTGTTATAACTACCTAAATTCTTTGGGTAATTTCCATGTTGTTTGATCTTGTTAGTTTTTTTTAAATTATATGATAGCATAGTAGATAACTATTCTCCCAGCAGTTTTTAAAATATGTTTTATGAATGTATTGCCATAATCAGACTGTTTGAATTATATATTTTTATATAAAAATCTGTTCTTTCTTGCTTTGCATGAAGTTTATAATGATTAACACTGGGATATAGAAACTGAACATATTTTGTTTATGTATTTTGTTTATATGTTTTGTTTTTCCATTTAATGGGAATACCATGTATATCTTGTTACCTTAACTATATATTACAAAATTATTGAAATATATTCTGTTTATATTTTTTATCTAATTAATAATTCTTTTGAGTAATATATTTGAAAAATGGTTGCAAAAATCATAATATTATTTTTGGTCTCTAAGATCTCATTACACCAGTTACACAAAATTTTTGTCTGTTCTATAAATCTGTATCTTTGTTCATTGCTAAATATGTTATTAGCTGAAAAAGAAAATTAGGTAATCATATAGTATGTGATCTACCACTTTTAGTTAGTTATTTATTTCTTAGATGCTAGCATTAAAATGTCATTTTTTAACTTAGAAAATATGATAAAATGGTGGAAAAAAGAAATGATTAAAACCGCTACTAGTTTGGATGCTGCCATAAAAAAATAACTAACTAAAAATGGTTTAATATGAAGCATAATTTTGTTTAGTTCATAAATGAAATCAATGTTGGGGGAAAAAACTATATGGGGGAGTAAGCATCATTAGAAATTCAGAAATGAAGAAACTAAGCAATGACATCAACTATTATCATTGCTATTATTTTCTTTTCCTTTCTGTATTTTCTGCTTGATGCTTATTTCTTGACACTGATTATTTGCAGTATTAATGTTTCATGTGTACAGTAAATAAACATAAAACATTTTTTTTCTTTAACAGGCCTCAGTTAACCCAAAAATGAGTTATTATAATAATATTTCCACTTAATTGAGAGTTGTCTGTGATGCCTAGTCATCTTGGCAGATTTCTGGTTTCTGAATTTGTGAGTTTGAGGAGATCTACTATGTTTCTGTACAATACTCTCTCATTTTGAAGCCGAGTCCTGTGTTTCTTGATGAAGCCATGTCACAAGCTGTGAATAAAAATTTTTAGCAGCCTGTATCATGGATAGCAGTTCTCGACATTTCACCTGATGTTTCATTATTTCTCAAATCAACATCCAAGGTTTGGGGTAGAGCTTTGGTGTCTAAAGCTTTTTATGCAAGGTTTTTCTGACAGATCTAGTTCTGAATCCCATTTCCATAGCAATCTAAGAAACTATTGCTTATATGTATTTATTTTACTGAAAATTAAAAGTGTTGGTACTCATAATAATGAGATGAATGAGACTATTGATTCTTGCACAGCTGTTTTATGTTTGTAGGTATACTGATAAGCTTAAGTGTTAGATGGGCACATATATCAAGCTGATGTTAGTACTTTGTTTTTGTTTGAGTTAGTGATGAAAACCCTTTCTTAGAAAGGCATGCAGATGCAAACTTAATTATAATTTTAAAAATACAATTGTATAATTTGCTTTGTTCCATTTTTCACTAGTAATGATGTCTAGAAATTAATCACACCTTCTGCTTGAAATTTTATATTAAGCCAGTTGTCTTTCAAGAGTTCATTTGACTGTGCTCTTTTATTCAATAACAGTTTATTATTTTTAATATTGCAATGAAAGCGATCATGAAGCCTTGGAAACTCCTTATATTTACCAACTGGAAAATGAGTTTCAAATTGCAACCTCTGAGTTTTAAGATGAAAACATTGTCATTGCATGATTCTTTTCCAAAAAAGTATATAATTTTCTGCTAAAATATATTAATGCTGGAAATGGTGAAATGTTTCACTGTTTTACATAGCTAACCTACAAACCAAGTTTTTTCTTAAATCTCTTTATTTTTTCATGGGCATTGGGAACAGTCACAGTATTTTGTTGTAAACAGAGATTTGGTTCATTTAGTTTTAATAACATATCTAATACATAGGCCAATGTACTTAGCTTCAAGTCATCAGTAAGAAATAATGTAAAAACTGTGTAAATTTAATTTACAAATAACAGGACATGCTGTCTTAATTCAGATGGCACTGTGAGAGCCAGCAAACTTCAGAATAAAGAAGCTGTTTATGCTCCCTTCCCTTGTCATAACAAAATAATGACAATATTCTACAGAGACTTCTCTGTACATTTTCTTAATACTGTTTTTTTTTTAACAGGGTTTTAATTTAAGATGATGTCTTTGGCTAATGAGGCTTCCTTCATTAACATATTTTCTAATCAATATGAAGCTGTTGCATGAACTCATTTAGGACTTTTAAAAATTTGTTCTGCAGTTGCACGAGTTGGCAGGGTATTTGAAATTAGCATATTTGTATGAATGTTATTGTTAAACTGACCTCTTAAAGAACAAATCAGCTATGCATCACTTAAAATGTCTGTTGTCTCATCAGTGTGAAGTCAATAACTTTCTTTAATTCTACTGATGTATCTAAATTTTATGTTATTAACCATGCTGTTGATTTAGCACATAACTGTATCATTTGAGAATAGTATTAAATCAATGCCGTAGATAATTTTTCACTAAGCATTATTTTGACTATATTTTTTTAACCTGAATTATTAAGGTATTATCTACATAATGGGGTGACCTTTCTTCATATTGTGGATACTTGCAATATAGGAAATTTCTAGGGCTTTTTTTTAGTTGCAGAATCTACTTCTTCTAGAAACCAAAGAGATAGCTTTGGTTTCTGTATTCAGTTTTTCAACATATCATTGGAAAAATATATAGGTTTACTTTTTATACTTTTGTGTTTCCTGTCTAAGTGTCATTTCAATTTTGTGGGTTTTATACACTCATTTGCAAGGACTTTGTAACATGTAATATACTGAGCCTATGGTTTGCTCTCATGCCGCATTAAGTAAATCCAAATTCCAAACAACTCTTGTCTTATTTACAAAAGTATTTCTTCTCTGAGCAGTTGTGAGTGCCGCTGTATGTTTCTTTAATGGTGCTAACAATTAAAATTAAAGGATTGGCAAAAATAAAACATAACTGATACTTCATGAAAAATTATTAATAGAAATTTGTAGAAAAGTTTTAGTTAATGTAAATTACTATGTTTGGCAGTTGATTGTTCACAAAATATTGAAATTAATACCAAATTTATGGAAATTAGAAAATGATGGAAAAATTAAGTTATGTGGAAAAATGTTTCGTTAATGTACTAATGTGCTATGTTTAATATGGTGTATGATCACCTTGGAAAGATATAGACTTTACCAAAGTGTTGATCAAATCTTGTAGAATTGCACACCACCCTTCTAAAAGTGTACTGCTCAGCTCATGGAAGATCTTGGGAAGAATTTGACCTGCTAAAATTTGACCCTTAAAGCATTCCACACATGCTCAGTCGGGTTCAAATCAGTTGAGTAAGGTAGCTAATCCATATAAATGCTGTCTTCTGTTTACAAGTATTCTGACACCACACATGCTCAGTGAGGTTGAACATTGTCATCCATTAGCAAAATCTCTGGGCACTCCTAGTTTAACTTGGGGTTCCTGTTCCTCATGCACATATCTTCAGGCGATTATAGAACCTCCTTGAAAGATATGCTGCTTGGCACGGCCATTTATAATGATTCCTTCCTAAACCATTAAACCGTGGTCATGGAAATGCGATGTTTCACAGACAAAGAAGGCAAGTTGCATATCATTTCCTCTTTTCAGATGACAGCACATCTAGAATCATTGTTCAGACTGTATCTGGATTTGTCAGTAAACAATACTCAAGCCCAGTCGTCTTGGCTGCATTGAACATGGCGAGGGCACCAGTTTAAATATGTCTCTCAGAAAGATGGAGTGACTGGGACACAAGCCATTGGTTTTCTAACATACAATCCAACTTTATTGAGCCTTCATGTAGCAGAGCTTATTTGAGTTCCTGTGGCAGCCTGAAGATCTAAAATCAAAACTCTTGTAGTAGCTTCATGGTTTCTTATATCTGCAATTATTAGTTTTATGAATCCAAGTAAGAGGTTAATTATTAGTTTTATTTTATTCTATATAGAACTGTTTATTGCAGATGCAATTTAATTTTTCTTTTAATGTGAGTAAAATTGTTCAGGTTTGCTTGGTGTTATATGCAGAAAAGTCATTTGAATATAAAGTTTATAATACATACTTTCTCTTATTATTTCTTATTATTTTTGTAGGTGGATCTGTGACTGCAGGGCTTGGAATTTATGATACTATGCAATACATCTTGCCTCCAATAGCTACCTGGTGTGTAGGTCAAGCTTGTAGTATGGCAAGTTTTTTGCTTAGCGCTGGTGAACATGGTATGCGGCATTCTCTGCCTAATTCTCGTATAATGATACATCAGCCGTCTGGTGGTTATAGGGCAAGTATTTTCAGTCATAATTTTTAATGGTAGACTTAAGTTAACTTCTGTTGTTATGTATTATAACCATTCATAAATGTTTTACTCACAAAATGTCTTTCATCTAAATAATGCAACAGACTTTTGTTTCGGCAGGTATATTTTTAACATCTCTTTATAAATTTATTTAAGTGCTGGTGTACTTTAAGATTTTATGAATTTAAATCTGATTCACTGCAATAAAAAAGTCAAATAAATATTTTAATTTCATAGAACTGAAATAGATATGCGTGTGAAATTTTTATTTACACTGTTAACTACAAGGAGGATTGTTAACCTACTTGTGAATATTCAGCCCGATTTGCCTAACCAGTAGAGAAGGGCCTCTTCAGATATTTTCCTCGAATGCCTGCAAGATGGTATTTTTGATCCATGTTCACCAGTTATTGTGACTGGCCACCTTAGATGACCACATTTGCATTTCCTGTCCTTCCACACTTACATAATTCACTTTCTTTTAGGCAATAGTGTTTAGTATGGGATATGAAGAACTGTATTCACTTATAACTACTAAACGGGGTCCCTACCCATGTCTCTTACTAACATAAACACTCTTACTAACCGTCTGAAACTTTACTAAAGTTGACATATTGCTGCTCAAAGTAATCATATTGTATACTACTGACATTTACATTTTGTGGTATCATTCATATGCAAATACTGAAAGTGAATTAAAAAATGATTTTATGCCATTTTATACCTTATTATTTATATATTTTGGTTAAATTTTCCAATCAACCATAGAGAACATCATAAATTATGGCAATTTTGTGATTTTTCCTTAGTATTTTAAATGAATTGTTGAGTACTGTTGATTTTTTAAAATTAAAAGAAGTATTTATTTTTTTGAACATATGAGGACCTTATTATGAGGAACTTGTTAAACAAGTTTGTCCTGTTTTCTTATCATTTGTATGATCCTTGAAGTGGTTCTTTTCTACAAAAAGCTTCTTTGCACTTGCAATGCAACTTCTAATGCAAGAATCCAGGTTTTTTGCCTTTCTTCTTTAAAATGTTTTTTTTCCTATGATTAATCAGATAAAAGCAAATAAAGTTTTAATTTCACCCATATGCATCTATAATGAAAAATATTTTAGTATTTAACAATTATTGCTTTTCAGTTTTTGATTTGTAATCAGAATCGCATTCCTTCTTTTCATATTTAAAAGAAACGACACAATTAATGGTTGTAATTTCAGTGTGATTTTGAAATATTATTGTTTTAAAAAACATGCGTATCAAATGCATGGGAATTATAGAAATATTATAACAGTTTGGAGAGAGCAAACCAAACCAAAAAGCTTGGAAATGCCCATGAATGTGACAGTTTTGGAATCATGGTAGGGGCATTATTTTGAATGGCCACACTGACCTCCATTTTTTACCAGTGCAACTGTAAATGCTGAAATATACAGAGATGAGGTTCTTGAACTTATGTCAAGTTACATAGGGGTGCAGTTGCTGATGATTTCCTTCTAATGGATGATAATTCTTAGTGTTTTGCATTGATGTAAATGATGCATTGATGACAATTTTACTATGATCCCTTCAGACCAGGTTTTACATTAGAGACAAAATATTTTAAGGTGACTGAATCTATGGGTAGTAATAATTTGATTACATTGATTCCTAAAGCAAATACATAAGGAATACTAATTTAGAAGTCAAACAACAAAAATCAGCCTTATGTTTTCAAAATTTTGAAAATGTAACGCTGATTTTTGTTGTTTGACTTCTGAACTAGTATTTATTCGGCGTGTTATTGTGTCTTAAATAAGGAATAGTTAGTAAAAAATTCACCAGTAGCTTAAAATAAAATAAAATAACACTTCTTCTGGAGAAGAGCAACTTCTTAAATAGAATGTTTCTATAAGCTGCACTTAAAAAAAATTAATATAAATAAAGTTGCTTGCTAAAATTAGTTCAGGTAATTTTATTTAATTTCTTTTTAATGCCATATACAGTCAAAAGTCGTTAATCCGGACTCGTTGGGACTTCGGCGATTCCGGATTATCGATTTCTCCGGATTATAGATCATCAGTTTAAATCTGGTAAGATGGCATGCAGAAATTACAAAATTAAAAATATGAAACCGTAATTTATGATATAAAAAACAATTATGATCTAAAGGGTATGAAAATTTACAAAAAGAAAAAGCTTAATATTTATTTGTTTACTTTATTAAACATTTCCTTCAATGTAAGTTGCTTCGTTTCATGTGATAATACTTTCTCTTTAATTCTATTAAACAGACATAATTTCTTGTTTAGTTACAAAGTTCCGCTGTTCAAGTCCTATAATTGCTGTGTTGAGAATACCGACTAATTTGTCAATCGAAATGTTTTCATTTTCAATAATCTCTGGGTCACTTTCTTCACTATCGGAAGCGAATTATAATGACGAGGAACTTGATTTAAATCATATCAAAGACAGAGTACATCGAGATGAAATACTACACTTAGTACAGAATTATAAATCAAATAAAATAAAAACATCTGCCCTGAAGATGAAGAGAGTGATGAGAGATCAACTTCCAATCTGCGGCGTGAAATTGATAAACAAATTTCGGATTTCAAAACATACTTTCGCTTTGTAGATACAAATTACATATTAGTAAATATATATCGGAAATTCTATTTGACATAATCTTTCTAATCTATCATAATCTAATAATGACATTTCTGCCCCCCCCCACCACCACTCTGCCGCAGAGCAGCGTGAAATTGATAAACAGATTTCGGATTTCAAAACATACTTTCGCTTTGTAGTAAATATATATCGGAAATTCTATTTGACATAATCGAAAGTTCAAGCTTACTTTTATAAAATTGCTCTAACAGTCTGCAAAAAATAATAAGCCGGATCCAATTCGAAGATTAAGGAACAACGCAATCTGCAACATTAACTGAATTAGATAACTTTAGCTTAGCGTATAACTCCGTTACACATTAAACTCGCATGCGCACAAACATATTCACAGCGTTAAGGGTCTTACGCGCTCTCGTAAACGCCTGTGCGCATGCGCAGAAAGTTTGTAGCTTTGAGGTCCGGATTATAGATCATTCCGGATTATGGGTGTCCGAATTATTGACTTTTGACTGTATTTGAATAAATACAATGGTTTCTAAGAATTAAGGAACAATTACAAAACTAGTGGTAATTCGTTACAAAAATAAAGCACCTGAGAGAAAATTTAGGAGTATCCTTAATAAATTCTAATTAATAAAGCTGAATTGAACAAAAATATGGTATTCAAAATAAGGGATAAGCTGTTGATTTGTGTCATGAAACTAAAACATAAATGTACATGTTTTGAGAATGATGCTGTAGTTTGATGGTGAAATAACGAATTGGAAGCAGCCAATTTGTTAGAGTGACTTTGAAACATTATTTACCAAATAATGTTAGATTGCCATTAGCTGAGCGAAGTCAGAATGAAGCTAGACAAATAGAGAGGGTCCAGAGATGATTAAATGTCTTTCTCTACTTCATGGGGTTTTAAATGTAGCTATGGATTTGGTCTCTAGATAAAGCAGCAAGTGAAGGTTAAGAGCTATAATGAGCATCAGAAACTAAATCTTTATTAATGGGCAAGAAGGCATCCAACAGGAATCCAATAAAGGTCTTCTATTGTGTCGATCCCTGGAGGTATGCTATTGTAATCTACTGAATGCTAAAGACTTCATGCAGGAGGTCTGTATGTAAAGCTACGGACCACTTGTGTATCTGAACTGTGGGCAAATGAGAGAGTATTTGCAGTAGGCACGTCAACATTTTTACTCGACTAGAAGATAAGTGGGGGCTTATTTCTTTCATGGATACATTACTATTAATTAATTTCATTCTTATACTTTCATGGAGTCTTTACATTGCATAATAAGGCAGGTATTTCATGATGTGTGGAGACATAAGAACTGCTGTCATCATTCAAACATTCTTGAAAGCGATTCATTTGGAAAAAGCAATATCTATGTTTTGGTTAGGATATCTGTAGGTGAATACACAGACCTTTTTGTAAAACCATAATTGTTTAGGTATATAGGATCTTGATGATTCTTGATGCTTTTGCAGATGAAAATTTTGATCTCCAAGATAGCAACAGTCATTGACACACAGCTTGTATGGTGAAAGAATATGTTGGCTTAGTAGCAGTTCTGCATGGGAAGTAGCCACCTTGGTCTTCCTATCTGAATCTTAGTGAGTTGTTATAAAAAATGCTTAAATACATGTATTACTGTTGTCCTGCCTCCTCCTTAAATTTTGCCATGATTGGAGCAGTTTTGATAACATTTGGCATCACTCCAAATTCAGCTCATAAACACTCTTACTAACAGCCTGAAACTTTACTAAAGTTGTTATTGCTGCTCAAAATAATCATATTTTATATTACTGACATTTACATTTTGTGGTATCATTCATATGCAAATGCTGAAAGTGAATTAAAAATGATTTTATGCCATTTTATACCTTATTATTTATATATTTTAGTTAAATTTTCCAATCAACCATAGAGAAGTTCATAAATTATTGCAATTTTGTGAATTTTCTTTCGTATTTTAAATGAATTGTTGAGTACTGTTGATTATTTAACATTAAAAGAAGTATTAATTTTTTAAACAAAGGACTGCAATCATTAAAATATATATGTATATTTTCTTAAACTTTTATTGGCATTATATTATACACTGCCCTCCAACAGTTAGTTAAAAAACAGCATGTTTTCAAAGCTCACCATTACAAAAATGTCAGTAACATTTAAATTCACAGTTTTGTATGAGAGTAAAGAAGTTTAAGAAAATATTTTTAAAAACTATAGCTACCACTTTTTTACCGGAATTGGAGAAAAATACAAAAATTGTAAGTTTTGTTCATGAATGTTCATCTTCAATTGATAGTAGCATTTTCGTTGACAATATCCAGGAGAGTCTGTCAATGTCCAGGAGAAGTCGTTTGCCTGGTTCATTGAGGTGGTTGACAGATGAATTAAAATGGGGATGTCACAATCTGTTGCTGCTAGACGTCTCAATGTCTCTCGTAGTGTGGTCCACCGACTATGGAATCAGGTCAAGTCTGAAGATACTGTGCTTGAAGACAAGCTCAAAGCAGATTCAGAGTTACAACATTTGTGGGAAACTGTTATTTAGCTCTTTTGGTCTGAAAGAGGGGCAACATTACTGTGCTTGAGCTGATGGTAGTTCATCTTGTGGCAACAGGAACAATAATCTCAGCTGTTACAGTATGCAGACACCTGCACAATACAAATTTGTATGCAAGATGACCAGTTGTTTGTATCCAATTGATCTGAGGACACACAGATGCACATTTACATTTTTGCAAGAGATCACGTCTCCTGGAGCAGTCAACAATGGGCGTCTGTTCTCTTCACAGACGAGTCCCGGTTCACAATGGAGAGTTATTCAAGCGATCAGCTTATCTAAGGGAATAATGCACCAGATACAACCAATCCCACACTGTGGAAAGAGTTACAGTGGTGGTGGAATAATGGTTTGGGCTGGGATCTCTCTCGGTGGTCACACTGATCTGCATGTGTTCCAGTGAGTAACTTTGAGCACTGTGAGATATGGTGATGAGATTCTTGATCAATATATGCTCCCATATGCTGCTGCTATTGGTCCTGGATTTCTTCTGATAGAGGAGAATGCGCAACCGCACCGAGCTCGGGTTGCTCAAGAATAATATCTTGAGGGTCATGGTATGGAGCAGATGGATTGGCCAGTTCAATCCCCCGATCTGAATCCGATAGAACATCTTTGGGACCTCCTTGGGAGACATGTTGCTGCTTTAAGTCCTACCCCAAGGTTGTTAGATGAGCTTGAACAAGGATTATGCCATGTCTGGTCATTGTTTCCCATTTCACTGACTGACAAATTAATTGACAGTATAGAACGCCACTGCTGCCAATGTATTGCAGCTATGGGTAGATGCATTCTTTATTAGAACCCATTTTTATAACGTTACCACCACATTTTCCATCAAAAAGCTGTGATGCTGGATTTCTCTGCGCAATTTTAAGTTGTAATTCATGTTTGTGTTGAACTTAACAAAAATTCTATGTTTAATTAAAGAACTGTTTAATTAATATGCATCTAATTTTCTTATTTCTATGTTACTTCATTCTCAAATTAGGTTAAAAATACATGCTGTTCCTTAACTTTTGGAGGGCAGTGTACCTCAGAGTTAAAAATAATGATTGGACTTGTTTTTAGGGTGTAGCTACTGATGTTCAAATCCATGCTGAAGAGCTATTGTTTCTTAAGAAACAAATGAATAGTTTATTAGCAAAACACACAAAGCAGCCAGTGGAAATCATTGGTATGATTTTAATTCTAAATTTAAATATTGCACAATATATAATTTTCTTTTTCTTATCCATCTATGTATGAAATTTTATATTTTTGTAGTGTTAGCCCATTTATGGGGGGGGAGGGAAAAGATGAAATTTGCTTTGATAAGAAAGAAAGATAATGGATGTGATTACTTACTTTTATAAAATTTTTATCTGTTGATCTATCTGTTTGCATAAAAATGAATTTCTAATTAATCTCTATGTATTTGCATTAATTTTTTTCCCTCTTATTTCTAATGACCTTTTTAAAACTTCAGACCAGAAGTTATACTGCTGGCTATCCAAAATCATGAAGGGAGCATCCAATGAGCTTGAAATTAGCAACATGGGTAGAATTCGATAGAAATTACAAATGATTAGCACTGCTGCGTTTAATAAAATTATGCAAAAATGTGTACCTAGAAGCAATATAAAAAAGGAGAGCTGTAGGCTATTTTAAGTACTGCAACTGTGTATTTTTCATTATTCTTTTGTGTGGGAAATTTCACTATGCCTTCTTTAAAAAAGAATGACAACCATTTGAGTCAATTTCTGAGTTTAACAGAGGAAGAATAGCAGCTTATGAAGACTGTAAATTATATTTTCCAAAATTGGTGCTTGTGTTAAAGAAAATATAACCACAGTGATGCAAATGTAAAATTGGTGCTTGCAAGAATGACAACTGGACCCATAAGATTGATCATATTAGACTTGTCATGCCCCCAAAAGAGGTATGATAGTATGTAGTGATGCCAGATCACAAAGCAGCATCAAGGTCAGTTCAGGAATTATAGTGTTTTGCACAATAACCTGTGTCAGGACCGACCATTCAATGAGCATTTACTCTGCAGCACAGGTATGTGCAGCTGCAATGATGTATTGAGTGCTATACATATCAAAGGGATGGTATGACATCTTTTGAGAATCTTGATTATGCCTACAGTAGTGCAGTTTTTTTATGTGAGGTGTGGATGCATTGCAGTGGTATCCATCGTGACCTTTGCATTATGCATCATTGTATTGACCCATAATATGAAGCTAGGGTTTGAGTTGCATTAAATTTTATTTCTGTGTCTGTTTAATATGCATTGCCAGCACACTTAACAGCCACTGCTACATCTCTGAAGTTTGAAACTTTTGCCATTTTCATCCCTTGAAGACTTACTCTATGTCCAGTTTTAACAGAGCAATGCATGAACATATGTGACATAGAGCACCTATAATTCTTCATTGCCTGCCATGTTACGCTGCTGACTTGGCTTGCCCATTTCCTTATTTTTGCTTATTGAACACATTTGATTCATGATAGACAAATCCATATGTGATATCACCCCTTTCTTCATCCTCCTCCTCATAGAGAAAACACTCCACCCTTTTAACTCATAGAGAAAACACTCCACCCTTTTGTATTTTTAAACATTTATTGCACAAACACAAAACTAATACTAAACTACAATACTAATAACTGAAATATATAAAGTAATACAAGTTAATTTTGGTTTCAGTAATGGCTCCTATGAGCCTTCCCTATGACCTTTCTGTCGGTTTCCCTCTTGGAAACTAAACTTTTGGCACTTTCAGATTGAGAGCCAACACCCTCTATACATCTTGTTGGTTGGCGTCACCCATACATCACACCCCCCATCCAAGATTGAAATAGGCTGAAAGCCTATTGAAATTTGAGAAATTATGGTGACGTCAAACAAAAGAGTTACTTACCTACTAAAGTCTACAACTCAATGAATATTGAAGTTGAAAGATTTATAACACAATATTTATACAGGTTACTTCTACACCTACTACAAGACTTCTTCTAAAACTGTAACATATAAATGATTAAAAATTGGTAATCGAACAATTCTAAATGCAATAGAATACTTAAAGTTCTATAAGATTAGCTGATTTATGATTATGATTTTGCTCTCCTCCTGTCATAAATAAATCAACGCGATGGAGACACTGGTCGCAATCACAATTTGCACTAAGCAGATGTGATTCAGAGGTCAATAAATCATAAACATTTGGAGTAATTACGCAGGGAATATGAAGTTTTTCTGTTAAAGCTACTAATATTTTGACAGGTTTCAATAAATTAGGATTATCAGCATTTCTGATGGATATAGGAATTCTAGCCACTTTAGCTGATATGGTTTCTCCAAATGCGGAAATTAGTTCAATATTACAGTTGTTCTCAATAGAGAAATTTGATATGTGTTTCGGATTTACAACAGAAATCTCAGCCCCCGAATCAATTATGGCTTGGATTTCGTTACTTGCAACACAAATATTTACCTTTTGCAATGGTTGCATAAAAATTTCATTTGACAAGCATGAAAATCCGATTTTTGCTATTACTTTATCACTAGTATTTTCTCTGGTGTTTCCTTTTTTAGAGGAGTATTTGTTCTTTCCGATTTGTTTCTTTGTGGACAAGCTTTCGCGAGGTGCGTTAATTTTTCACATATGTAACAGTCTTTGGGTGGATATTTATTTTTATTTATGTTGCTTCTCATATGAGGTGGAATATATTTCGATTCTCTTGAAGAACGGGACGGCTTAGATATGTTAAGGTCAACTAATATAGGTCAATTTCTTTAGCTAAATCCTTAGGTTTTAACCAATTTTTTCCTCTTTTAATATTAACGTAAGTTGCCGTTTCTCTATCTAACGTTTGGAAAAGTTTGTCAAAAATCATTAGTTGGCAGAGGGTATCAAAGTCATTAACTTCGCGTAATTGACAGTAATACTGGAAATTTGCAGAAAGTCTAGAAGCAAACTGAACATGTGACTCTTTAGGATCGCATCGTGCTCTTCGGAAATTCATTAAACATTCATAAGCAGTTGGTTGATATTCTTTTAATACTAGATTTTTAATGGTTTCATAACATTTTAGTTCTTCATCATTAGTGTAAAATAATATATTAGCTGTCTTATACCCTAATATGTTAATCAAAATTTTGAATTTGAGCTCCTATGGTACATTTTTAGTTATGAATGCTCTCTCTAATGTTTGAAAAAACAAATTTAAGTTTTCCGATCTTCCCGGAACAGGAATAGTTAATGTTTTAACACTCTTTATTATATTTTCCAAATAATTTCCCAAACCTGTAGTCATGTCTTTATCTACGCGAGATCCATCTTTGACTTTTTCAAATTCTAATTTCTTTCTCTAGCTGCACTAATTTTAGTTTCTCGAGTTCAACCTTTAGAGCTTCTAAGGCTAACTGTGCATCTCTAGCTTCTATTTCATTTTCTTCTCTAATTTTTCTTTCCTCAACTATTGAATTTAATAATCCAATTACAAATTCTGGATCATCTTTAAATATTTTACTGTCCTCAGTTTTACCTTTTAATTGAACCACTGTTAAACCAACGGTTGGTGTATCTTCAATTTCACCAAGAAGGTTTACTAAATCTTCTTTCTTAGTATTCTTATACATTTTTAATTTATATACATCATATATAAATATATCTTCAATACATCTATACTTTGAGTAAAATAAAATCAAAAGCTTCCTACCTGCTTTTCTTAAAGCTTCTCTACCATCATCTAAAGCTCTGGTTATCTTAAAAGCTCTGGTTCTTGAAAGAGAGCGTGTGATATCACCCCTTTCATCATCCTCCGCCTCATAGAGAAAACACTTCACCCTTTTTTATTTTTAAACATTTATTGCACAAACACAAAACTAATAATAAACTACAATACTAATAACTGAAATATATAAAGTAATACAAATTAATTTCAGTTTCATTAATGGCTCCCACAAGCCTTCCCTATGACCTCTCTGTCAGTCTTCCTCTTGGAAACTAAACTTTTGGTGCCTTCAGATTGAGAGCCAGCGCCCTACATATATCTTGTTGCTTGGTGTCACCCATACATAACACCATGGCTTAGCAAACTGCTCTTGCAGCTATGTGAGATGAACTTTCTCAACATGTGGAAACGGGAACAGGGAAAAGTGGATGTAGCATCAGAACTTTGCATATGGATATACAGGTTTTGCTCCATTGCACTATTGTTTTAGCACAACATTCATCATAGGGTATACTGCGCCTCACCTCGAGCTCAGCAAGGAATCTACCACACAATGTGAAATGTTCTCACCTTTCTCCTACTGGGCGGTCCTTCCATGTTGCCAGTCTCCATCATGTAATTGCATTTATATGCATTCTGATTATTATTTTTTTTTTAAATACCAATTGATATTTTGATAATGCCTTGGTGTCTATTTATGTTTTGTTGTTCATTCATATATTTTTTTATTTGTTCCATAGAGGATCCTGTTGGATGCATGTATAAATATCTCATTTCATTAGTTTCAGAATATTTTTGTTCTGTTATACGCCATGAGCTGCATCATAATGTTTTAGATTTTTTGTCATGATTGCTTCACACTCAGGATATATCTGATATCTTCTGGTGTGATTGGTTGCCTGGTTTTGTAATGGCTTTCTTTTGTGAGTTGATTAGGTAATATATAATGCTTGGGATTGCCCCTTTTCCCACATATGCATCTGTATCACATAGATTTCAAGCAAAATAGTATGCAAGAAAAGGGTCATGTCTCCTTATGAATATTATTGAGAAATTATATGAGATATGGTCATATGAGGGGTACTTATACATTTTATATACTATTCTTCCTTCTTGTGCAATGTACCATTTGTTTCTCCAGATTTCAAGTGTTCTTTTTCTTAAGGAGTTCTTGATATGTAATCTTGGGTGTAGTATTTCTGTTGTAGGCAGTGATTCAGTCTGTTCTGCTTCTGCGCCACTTCTGCAAGAGTATCTGCTTGAACAACATGAACGTCTAGCAGTATGTGGAAACATAATACACTAAACATACTCCAAGTATATATTCAAAGTCCATTTATTTTATGACTGAGGCATGTTGCAGCAACTATTGCCAACCCTGGCAGCTCACAAATTACTGATTACTTCATGTTCTTTATATTGAATGGAACATAACTTTAATTGGTTCACCTT